CGCTCTTCAGAAAACCAATGGATAACACCACGGTGGGTTTTTAGTTTTTAGATACAGTCAATGGGTCACATTGAGAAGTTGCTTCATATCAAGAGAATACAAGTCAAAAAAGGCTGGGAACCAGCAGATTAAAGACTCCTGGAGACAACAAAGGATGGACTATTTGTATCCTCTGACTTGGGGCAACCAAAAGCCACGTTTGAACTACATTTGTAGTAGCCTTTCCTGACACTAGTTGGTCACAGGAATATGAAATTGGGAGGATTTGCCCTCTAAACTGGGATGTAGCTCTGGTGTGACTAGAACAAGCAGCAACAGGCAATTTGTTTATATATAGCACTATTTCCCAAATATCTGATCTATTTCACGTGACAGAAAGTGCAGCAAAATCTCTGTGCTAATGTCAGTGAGCCCACTTGGAAACAATCTCGACTTGGAAATCATCATGGCAGAGGTGGTCTTGTTTTAGTCCACACTATTGTTTGAAGGTGGGATCCCAATAATGTGGGGTGTGTTGCTGAGTGAGTGAGTGTTTGGTGATGGATTGATGAGCCTATCAGAGCTTCATGAAGAGAACAAAAGGGCAGGTGTTCAGATGGGGAGGGTGGAGTTTGGGGTTGTATTGTTTTCTGGCTGGAGACGGACAGATGTGAAAGGTGGGCACCAGGGGCTGTGTGTAGGAGCAGATGGAGGCTTTATGGCCAGTGGAGACTGGTTGAACTTGAGGCTCTGCTGTGTTACTCCAGCAGTAGAGAGAAGGGACGGGATGAATACCAAACAGCTGCTGCTCACCTACAGTTATATGGCATAATCCGCATGGCAGACTTCAAATGACTCTTTAAGCAGCAGCTCTGATTTGACAGTATACATGAGTGTGTGTTTGAATGTGTGTGAGAGAGAAAAATACAGACACTACAAATCTCAAGGGCTAACAGATAAGGAGCTCTTCAGACGTGCTCACTGAACACACAAACACTCAAATGCACTATTGTGGTGTAGGCTCAGAGTAGAGGTATCTGGGAGTGACTGCACAGTACTACACACACATTGCAAAAAGAAGAGACAGGAGGTTGCCATGGTGACATGGCAAGACAGCCACTGGTAACACAGTCATAAAACAGAGAGAAAAGTCTCACGAGTGGGCAGATGGGGAGAGGGGAGGACACAAACTTTTTTTGGGGGGGGGAAAGAATGCAGATGCAGCCTTTTGTGTCACCACAGCTTTAATTTTTTTTCTGGCAGATTTTGTCTGTGAGTAACAAGTGGAAAGGGACTGATTAATATATTCATAGGAGAGAGAGAGAAATACTATCATATTTATTGTCTAAATGCTTGGGAAATGCGTGGGAAGTTAGGAGTTTGCAAGAGCAAAACCAATAGAAAAAAATGATGTCCCTACATCTGTGAGCAAAGCCAGAATTAGACCAGTCAAATAGTCAGGCATTAAGACAATGACACATAAATGGTCTCTATTAATATCAGATGTATTTTATCTAAAAAGATTACCCTCAGGATTTTTAAAACAGGAAATATAGTTTTAAAAAAAAACACCTTCTCACTGTCCCAGTAGCTGCATCTTTTGACCGACTTTAATTAACCACAAAAGCATTCAGCCATGGCCTTTACCCTTCTCTGTCAAGTGCACTCTGGGTAAAGAACATTAAACAAACTGAAAGCTCATAAAGAAACACTCCTCCAACCCCTTCCCCAACCAGCACCCTTTGCCTCTCTTTGGGAAGATCTTTACTATACCTGCAAATGAATTAAAGTGTCTCTCAAAGGTGGGCAGTTTGTCTAAATAAGCATTGTCTTCTGAGAAGCGAAAGGACAAATAAAGAGAAAAATGGCACAACAAAAGTGGAACAGGAAAACGGGAAGTTTATAGTTAAAGCTGCATTAACTAACTTCTCCCTCTAATTTCTGACCATTAAGGGCAACGTGAGAATCAAAACAAACTCTAGTAGTATCCCCTCCTCTTCTCCCTCTGCTCCTCTTGCCCCTCCGGCCTTGTCTTTGAAACTACGTCATATGTGGTCACGACAGCCAGAGACAGTTGTAGCAGGTAGTGCAGCAGTGATAATCAGCTCCAAAACTAATGTATTTGGAATATATAGCCCATAAAGCACATTGTGTTCAGTGGCATTGCAGCAACACAACGTCAGTTAAAGAGGTTTGCATTAGCGATATGCATAAGTATCTGCACTAACACAAACAAATTACACAGAGGAATGTTTTTTTCCCAGTAATATTGATACAGTACTAATGTTCTGGCCACAGTGTTACATACTTGACACACACAACTGCAGTTTTAGTTGAAAGAGAAATTTCATGGTATACTTTGATAGGTGAACAAACTCCCCACTTTTCTTGTTGTGTTGATGGCGTAAATTTGAACAGCATCTCACTAAAATTCTACATGGACTACACTGTTATGTTTGACATAAACTGGACCAAAATTGAGCAAAACTTGGCAAAATTACTTCAATTGCTAATCCATGAAAACGTGCTCCTTTCCACTAAGTGGACAACAAAACATAAACGTTGCAGTCAGTTAGAATGACTCCAACTTACAACCAGAATAATTCAATACAAAGGTACAAAACTGAGCTTTCTAATGATGCCAACATATACGTGTTAGCCAGCTACAGCAGTTACAAAAGGCAGAAAGCCACATCTGCATCAAATTTAATCCTTTGGATGCTTTTAATGCTCTCCATCTCTGACATGCCAAACCAATATTAACCCTTTCTCTTTGTCACCCTCTTTCTGTGTTATAGAACGCGGCCTCTTGGGTCTAAAAGGTCAGCTCCCATCCTGGGTTGCACCTACACAGGGAGCCTCCATAAGTCCATCTTTGAAATGAGTCATACTGGTTTGAAAAACACATCTTATAATGTTGGATCAGCAGGGGCGTGGAAGAAGTGTGATGCAGATCTTAACAACACTGCCCAGAGAGGGCAAGAAATAAACACAAGGCCTGAAGATAACAGAGTGGGGTGGAGGCTTTAGTACAGCAGGGAGAAAACACTTCTAGACAATTTTTTACTTGATCTATCCAATTTTGTGCTAAATCTTAGTTAATGTAGCTTTAAAATTGTCTCCAGGTCCATCGTCTCCTTGGTCTATCAACAAACCCACAGTGAATAAATTCATGCATCACAGGCTGTATTGTAGACTCCATATACACTTAAAATAATTTCTAATGTTACAGTCTAGGTCTGGTGAGGATGTTTATTTTATTTGTCATTGCAATGTGTTTAAAAAAAAGCACCTTCTAACTTGGGCCTATATTCTGTTTTTATGTAACTGCTGTTGCCTTTGGAGTGTTTATTTTTTAATCTACTATGAGTCAGCCATGTTACAGTTTACTGAGATTTTCTATTATCCACTTATAACTCAGCACTGCAGGGTTCTTCACCAATGACTTCTCTAAAGTTACATCAAGGAGTATAAACTGTTTTTGTGTTGTTAATTCATTAAAGGAAGGCTTGCTGAGAATGTGTGCACATTAAAATTAACAGCCTTCCTCACATTCTCACCTCCCACTCATACTGCATCTGTGTGTGAGCGTGATTATGAATTCATGTTTCTCATATGTGCCCCACAGTAGCTTCAACTGCTTTTTAAACAGGGGGACAGTAGCATTGTAACTAGGTAAACTAGGGACTATTTCTCTGGGACTGATCTCATATTGGGCCATCATTGCTGGGAAACTATCACCATTTCCAGAAAGTATTAAAATAAATGAACACACAACTGAATGACTCATTCCACACAAACTCTGAGAACAAGAACATGGCTGGTGCAACAAACTTTTAGTATTATTAGACAGGTCAAATCAACTACCTCTGCTAGCCTCCAGCTAGCTGATTGTACACACACCTGACACAGACACGGAGAGCTCTTTACTGATGGTGGGGGTGGTGGCAGCACTCAGGGAGTTGGTGGAGGAGATGGAGGAGGTGCTCTCAGCCCGTGCCAATGGAGCAACAGGAGGCGGGCTGGCTGAGTGGACTGGTGGGCTGAAGGGATGATTCTGAAAAGATGATAATGAGAAGAGTGAGAGAAAGAAACAGCTCGGTCTATTTGTGCTCTATGCCATTGATGGGTCAGTGTCTCATACAGTACAGTAAATCTGATTCAGTTCTGACTGTGATAAACTCATATACTGTAAATGTTGTAACAACACAAGCTATAACAAAACAACAACCTCAGATATGGGTGAAATTATAACATGACAAACTGCTGATCTTACTGCATCTCCTACAGTGGGTTTCCCTGGAGGAAGTTTAGGCCTTGAAGGGGGGCGAGGTGGAGGTGGTGGTGGGGTGGGGTTGACTGACGAAGGAGTGGCAGGTCGCACCGGTGAGGAGGAACCTGCAGAGGAGAAGGGAAACACACAGGAGCTCCATTAAAAATCACTCCAGTTCAGTTTAGATAACTACTACAAAGTACATTACTACAGTACAGTAGACTCAGGATAGACAGACATCTTGAGCCTCATTAATGCCTTTAACACATATATTCACACGTTTCTCTGAGTACTGTCAGTGAAGAATATAAGCATTCTTTTAACTTCAACAGACTCAAATAACAGTTTCATATAATGACCCAGAGTGAGCTCTAATACAAGACTATTGTTTTTCTTGAAATTGGTTTTTCACTTCAATGGGCAATTGTCACTTTCCACCATGTGCACTTCTATAGAGGATTAAGGACAGACAACCTTCTATTTTGGCTGCCTTCCCATGGGTATCTGCCATCACTGACTATTGAGGGTTGCCCTAAAGCTGTTACCAGAGAAAATTAATTCTATAAAGCATTGGGTTGTTTCAGTCTGTGCTCAGCTATTAGTCATACACACACGTGTCTTTTGTGAACTACTGGCCTGAATTTGATGAAAGGTTTTCCCTGTGCTAAGACTATATATTCTGTGTGGGGGTTCCTGGCTCATTACAATTTGTAAAAAAAACAAAAACAAAAGCAAAAAGCCACTTGGATTATTCATAATTTTAAAGGTCAAAACCCTTCAATTCTGTAATACTGACTGATTGACAATTTTAACAAAAGACACTGTAAGTGTAATAAAAATGAAAATGTTCTACCCAAATAAATCTGACCTTTAACTATGAGTTACAACAAAAATCTGCAATCAACTGACAGTGTGCGCACAGCTGGGAATAAAAATTTTTCTCAGTTCCAATCAAAATGATATCTCCAGTGCTTCTAACCTTATTCATATGTCTGTCTGATGCAGTGGCTTTTTACAATTCCACTGGTGTGTGTGTGACAATCAAACACTGTCCTCTGGCTATAATTATCTATGAATCTATGTGATTCAGTAATTTTCTAGGCCACTGAAAATAAAAGTTGTTTTCACAAATCTGAGCTCTAAATAAAACTCGCACTCTTCAAACCACATTCCATAAATCTATATAAAATATATTACAATCATGAATTACTCACCACTATTCATGCCACCAGCTCCAGATGTGGGACCCGGCGATGAAACTACTGCACGGTATGTGGGGGGAGGAGGTGGGGGAGGTGTACTCCGGCTCCCCTGGCTAACATCTTTGGGTGAGGTGACAGTTTCACCTCCGTCCTCTTTGGGTTGGGTAGTGTCTGTGTTCTTGGGCTGCGCCTCTTGAGACAGGTCAAGGGGCGGAGGGATGGTGCGTGCAGCAGGTTTTTCAGAAAGAGCAGTCACCGCTGGAGAGGTGCTAGTGTTGGGAGCAGAAACAGGTGGGATGCTGGCAGGTGAGTCAAGAGGAGGGGAAGCGAGAGGAGATGCGACCTCCTTTGGTGTTGCAGGGGGTGGAGAGGTGGTGAGTGTGAGAGGATTTTGGTCTTTAGGTGTAGAAAGGCCTGAGGGGACAGGAAGTGCAGCTGGCTTCTCTGAAGGAGGCGGGGAGCTTGGTAGAAGGGGAACAGGGTCTTCTTTTGGGGGAGGGGAGGTAGGGAGAGCTGGTGCAGGGTTTTCTGAAGGCGGTAATGATGTAGGTAAGGGAGGGACAGGAGATTCAGGTGGAGGTGGAGAGGCTGGTAGTGGAGGTGCTGGTTCCTCTGGAGGAGGTGGGGAGGAGGGAAGAGGATGTGCTGCCTCCTTTGGTAGAGGCGGACAGTTGGGAGATTCTTCAGTGAAGCAGACCCACATTTCACCTGTATCTTCACCAGCAGAGGGAGCCTGCTCTGGTCCAAAGATATTGTCCAAGTCTGCTATCGAGGACTTCTTGGCGGAGCCATTGGCTTCTGTTGACACTTCTGAAGCACAGACAACCAGCGACCAATCAGAGACTGTATTTGCAAGGTGTTCGGAAATTTACAGACAGACAGATCATGACAGACAAGTATCCATACTGACAGAGATAAAGGTGTTAGGGATGAAAGGTTGGAGATGCTGAGATCAAATAAAAGTACAAGTTTGTTTTATTCCAAGGTGATGGTGTGATGTAATGGGGGTAGCCATAGATGAGAAGACTTCTTACCAGCACATGCAGAAGGTGGTCCAGTCGTCGGGAGAGAGGTCAGGACATTTTTGGGTGGAAGAGGAGGTGGAGCTGCAATGATATTGTAAGTGTAACTAAGAATAATCCTATCAGTTATAGCCAGGATTGGGACCTGACTACTAGGCAAGGTGTATACAAAGTGAACTGTGACTTTTAATGACATTACAACTTATCGTAGGCACACACAAGGCTGGCAAAAATTAAAAACTAAAATGAGAGGATTTAAGGATTACAAACAATGAAAGTTTGGATCTAGACATGATAGGTATAATTTCCAGCTGTCAAACACAAGCACAACAGAAGGGTCATCCCACCAATCATAAATCATGCAGTACATTTAGTTACCACCATGCCAAATGCAAGGAGGAGGCAGCGAGAGAAACAGTGGTAGGTGGAGTATGGGAGACAGGTGTTTAACCTCTCCCATATAACAAACTACAGTCAAGACTGGATCATTTGGTTGGACAATGACAGATGAAATGAAATAGGTTACAGCTGAAAAAGGAGGAGTATGTAATCATCACACAGTTGATTCATCGGGTCAGTTTGCAGGTCTGTTGTTAGACGAATGATGAAGGGGGATCATGAGGTGAGTTGATGGGTCTGTGCAATCATTCCAGGGACAAGAAGAAGTGCGGCACAATACACAGGGAGCTATCAAACTTACTTCCTGTGGGGAAGGATCTTGTCAAAGGCTCTGACAAAGGATTCCCCCACACATCAGACTCAGACAGAACCACTATGTTCATGAAGGGACAGAACAGGCCATGTCAGGAACCAAAACACTTAAGGTTTTCTCAGTGTTATGGCTTGAAAGAAGTATAGGTGTGATGGGAGAAGAGCAAAAAATCAATAGTTTCTCATTAGTTTTCACTTGCTAAATGAATGTCAGTGATAATATGATAGTAGACTTCAAATGCAAACAGCTGAAGATGTGGCTACAACCAAATCCACTCAAACTGATTTCTAAAAACAAAACAAAGAAATATTTGGGCCACTGCTTTTCTGTTCTAAAAACCTTTCTAAGCCAGAAGGATCTTAAAGACTTGTTTTCAGTGACCACTTCATATGAACTGTTTTAAAGAGGCACTGATTCATGGTCATGGTCTTTATGGAGACTCTCTTTAACCTTACTGATTACACACACTGTTGTATATAGTGTGGAGAAATTATTGTGAACACCTCACAGCACTGCACAGTATATTACTTCATTATTTCAGCAAATACTGAATACAACAACCTTTATAAATGTAGAAATTACTGGAATGGTATTTTATTAGAGTGCATTAGTTTTTGCTGGGGGCACAACACACTGGCAAGAGTGTGTAAAATGACACGTGTGATATCTCACACACCTACACTTCAATATTCAGGGATTTAAAAATGCTGCTTACATCTTGTGAAGACAGCACTATAATGAAAAAGAAAGTACAGTTCAACCCAGACAGTTGTTTTATTCCTCTGAGCTCTTCCACAGCCTGCAGCAGTAAATCCTGTTGGTTTAGAGTGCGAGTGAAGTAGAATCTGCATACAGTGAGGAACAGAAGTATTTGAACACCCTGCGATTTTGCAAGTTCTCACACTTAGAAATCATAGAGGGGTCTGAAATTCACATTGTAGGTGCATTCCCACTCTGAGAGACAGAATTAAAAAAAAATCCAGGAAATCACATTGTATGATTTTTAAAGAATTTATTTGTCTTGCACTGCTGAACATAAGTATTTGAAC